CCTTGGTGACATCAACCGCAGACATGGGGTTAACTTCCACATGTATGCGGATGACACACAACTCTTCCTTTCCTCCTCTACCCTCAACTCCACGACCACCGATGTCCTGACAGACTGCCTGTCCGACATCGAGTCCTGGATGAGAGACAACTTTCTTCAGCTCAACGTGCGCAAAACCGAGGCCCTCCTGATTGGCTCACGTCAGCGCCTCCGCACCTCAGGCGCTGACAGCATCAGCATCCAAGGCTGCACTCTCCACCTCTCAAAGCCAGTCAGGAACCTCGGCGTTCTGTTCGACCCTGAGCTGTCCTTTCTTCCTCATATCCGCACCACAACTGGCACCGCCTTCCATCACCTCCGAAACATCGCCAGACTACGGCACTACCTCACCCCTCACACTGCTGAAACTCTGGTCCACGCCTTTATCACTTCAAGGCTAGACTATGGGAACTCTCTCCTCGTCGGCCTTCCAGGCACCTCCCTCCACAAGCTGCAGGTCATTCAGAACTCTGCAGCTCGTGTACTGTCCCACACCAGGCTTCGGGACCACATCACTCCCACCCTCGCTCGCCTCCACTGGCTCCCCATCCCCCAGAGGATCGAATTCAAGATCCTCAGTCTCACCTACAAGGCCATTCACGGCCTTGCTCCCTCCAACCTCTCTGACCTACTATCCCCCTACTTACCTGCTCGTACCCTCCGTTCTTCTGGCTCCGGTCTGCTCCACATCCCCCGCCCCAACCGCCCTACCATCGATGGCCGGGCCTTCAGCCTCTCAACCCCTAGGCTCTGGAACTCCATTCCCCCAGTACCTTTGCCTTGCTTCCTCCCTTTCCTCCTTCAAGGCCGGTCTCAAGACCTTTCTCTTTGACCGTGCCTTCAGCTCCCCTCTCGAGTCTCTACCCCTCCTCGCTCCCTCCCTTCCCTCCCCTCACCCTGACCATTTCCCCCTTGCTCGGGTCCTGACCCAACTGTCCAGCGCCTTGGGACGTCCTCCCGACATGAAAGTCGCTCTATAAATGGAATCTTGTTGTTGTTGTAGGTTTAATACCAGCAAAAATGCCAAATAGATCAAAGAGCAAAACAAAAAATGACAAGATTCCTGTGTTAAAATACTAGGGTGAAACATCGCTGTGGATGTGACAATTATCATGAATGGGAATTTTAACATGTCACAAATTGCACCGCACCTTGGGATAAAATAAACTATTAGAAAAATACTGAAGATGCGGGTGTGATGCCTCATTTGCACCCTCAGTGGGACTTCTTTAATCCTTTATGGTACTGGCTGTCAGCCAAGCAGACCTTTGAAATATCCTAGATTGAAACTATTGCATCACAACTCGTAAATACAAGAATACTACTCTACATAGATTACTAATACAAAAACATTGGAAAAATAGGAAAGCTGGAAAAATAAATACAGTTAAAGGTGAGAACTTGAAAAAGCCAAACAATTCTGATGTTTTATATGTTGTAGAAATTCTATTCATTCATGGATGCAAACAATTACTCACATAGAATATATTTGCATTATTTTTAGAAGAATTCAGAAATTATTCCATATAAACAAACAACATGAATCACATTCTTCTGTCTCTAAAACAAATGGAAATTAAATTCTAGTCTTAATTTACAGGGGCAATAATTTTTTTTTATGATTAGCCTGGTGTCTGACACGCCAAAACCCATCACCATGATTAATCTCAAAGTGCTTCAACATTTTTTTATTGTGAAGTGTAGTGACTGTGTACATTGTAGATGAACGGGGCAGCCAATTTGCACACACAGCCATAAACTGATCAATTTTATTTAGGTGGTTGTTAGGCTCCAGGAGGACTCCAGGAGAAATCCCTTTCTCTTTTCAAATAGCGCCCTGGGATTTTTAACGTCCACCTGAACAGGTAGACGGGACCTCAATTTAATGTCTCATCTTTAGGTCGGCATCTCCAACAATGCAGCACACCCCTGAAATTGCTTTACATTGCCAACCTAGACTTTGTGAATTCAAATTCCTGACATGGGATTTGAACCCACAACTTTCTGACTCTGAGGTGCAAATACTACCAACTGAACCAGGCTTTCTATGAAAATGAACGGCCACAAAATTGTTCCAGCAGTTGAACTGAATAAACAGCCTGCTGTACGATTCTGTCCTGGAATAGAAACGTTTCCCTCCAAATCTCGAGTGTCTCCATGAAAAATTAAATGTAATAATAATAATAATAATCCTTGCATTCGATATAGCAAATGATATAAATATAATATAATTTGATATAAATGTAATGATCATAATCACATTTTTAATCACAGCTCCCTAAATAAAATGTTTACACTCAGCATTCAATTAACTCACTCCAGCTGCATAATTCACTGAAACAAGCCCTGAGTGGGGATTGACAGGGCCACACACAAATTAATACTTAATCCCTTTTCTAAGACATGTTCTAGATTGTGGCAGGCGACCTCTGGGGAGATGAGATACAAAACCTGTGAAATAATGAGGAACATTAAAGGGCATTCAGACATTTATTACTCCTCTGAATTATATAATAGAAACTTTCCGAGATACATTACATAAATGAAATTCAGCAGGAGAAAGGCCACTGAAGATGACTCATTAGATCCATCTTCATTCAGTAACCCAGCTATTAGACGGTTCCCCCCATGCTCATCCTCAGTGTATTTAGATCTTTGTACAGAGATACCCCTGCTCAAGAGCTTCCTTCCTTGGTGCTATTTATACTATATTTTTGGTAAAGAATCCAAAGTCGGTTCTTTAGACCAGAGACTCTTATTTTTTTCCCCCCCTGAGATTCCCTAATATGATTGTGCAGAAGCCGTTCATATCTTTTAATAGATCTTGCAATAATGGCTCCAAAACTTTATTACGTGTATTAGCCCAGACCCACATTTTGCTTTATTGTGGTGTCCAGCATTATTCCATTAAAAAGCATTACTAATGGGAATGGGATGAATTTAACACAATAACCCCACCTCTTCCCATACAAATTAGCAGTGTTTAATAGAGCATTGAATGGTCCAAACCAAGCTCTTTCATACATTTTATTTTTCACTGACGCCCACACAAGAATGAGGTTCACCTCTCTTGTTTCATTAAAATTCAGCACACTGTAACCATTACGCACCAGTGTTGACTATTGACTGATTCTTTTTTTAAAAAAACAAGAGGATGAGGGCAATGGAATGTACATTCTCATCTTGTCCAGCTAAGACTGGACTAGTCGGGGTAGCAGAAGCTGAGTAGGAAGGATCCCAGCTCCCAGATTCTGGTGTGCTCTTCCAAGTCTGGTTGATGCTGGCTGGTCTGATATGCGCAATGCCTTGGAGTACTGCAGATCTGCCTAGCTCAGAAATCAGGCTGCCACACCAACAGACTGTCAAAGAGAATGGATTCAATTTCAGCTATTGTATTACCATTACAACAACAACTTGCATTTATATAGAGTCCCTCACACAGGGTAGCGTCCCAGAACGCTTGACGGTAGGGGATCACGATGACGAGCCGGGAGTAGGGAGAGGTGACCGTAGGCACGGTCAAAGTGGAAGGGTCTTCAGGCGTGACCTGAAGATGTGGAAAGAAGGGCACGGCGGAAAGATAGAGAGGAAAAGAGTTCCAAAGTTTTGGGGCATAGTGGCTGAAAGTGCGGCCACCAATTCGCAAAGGAAACATTGAATTTCTACAAATTTTCAGCTAACAGAACCAACCCTGGGATAATTCACTGAATAGGTATAACTTAATGTGAGCCAAGATTCTTCTTATAGCATTCCACCCACCGTTATTAAGTCCGAAGGTTTGAATAAGAACTGTAGCACCCGTATAATCTATGGTCCTACACTGAAATGCACAGATTTTTTATTTTACCTGTATTTAATAAAATCGGGCTAGGTTCTGATAAGCAACTGTAAACATTTTCCATCATAGAAATTCAGTTTACTTGTAAACATTTTTTGTATTGTGAAAGTATTCTGAAATTATTCTTTATGTTGTTTTTGTCTTTGATTTCGTACTAATTAGCAGATACTGAAAAAAAGACAAATATATTTCATAGTTAGGTAGTTCAATATGCCTTGCAAACATTACTTGACAAGGTCTGCTGAGATCTGTTTGTCCCTTAAGTCAAAAATGCAGTATTCAGAACTTGGATTTTCAAATTGTGACTGCTGCAGGTAACTGGATGTGTTGTCCTGGAGAAACTTTGCTCTGACTCAATCATCTTTCAAGAACACATTTGAGCAAAGTTCCCAAGATTTGTCATGGCACATATTTGTTTACCTGCAGAAGAATCTATTAGTGACTATGAGTCACTATTTGCAGCTCCATGGAACAAACACTCTATTTGCAATCCTTGTGTTTCAAGCATAAACGACACATTGACTTTGTGCGTTGGTTCTTCAGCACTGGATATAGGATGCACCAAGAGTTTTCCTAACATTGACTATGCCTTCAGGAACAAGACAAAGTGTGGAAGCCAGTGGTTCTCACTGAGAGAAGGATGGAGGGGGGTGGGAGGGAGAGAAAATAAGAGAAGAAAAAACATCAACAATTCAGTTTGTGGCTCTCTCACACCACACAAAGGCATGGCTTAAGAGTACCATTTGTAGAGTCCTGCCAGCAAAGCACCAGAATATTCTCAATAAGTACAGACTGAGAAAGATAGCTTCAAAATGAGACTCGAAAAAGAATAGATGCTTGTGTCCTTTTCTATAAAACGTTACAGGTACAAAAATTGATCACAAAACATCACTGGTTATTTGTAGGAAATTTGCCTGACAGCAAACATAAGTTATAAAGTTTCAAACTATATGTTTTCTTTTTTGAAGTAAATGAAAAATGAAAGCCTTTAAACTTAAAGATGTTGGTCAGGTTGACAGCGTCTTGACCCAAAGGACACACGCCAGCATGCCAGTAAACAAAAGACAGAAGTAATAGTTTGAGATATTATGTGTGTAACTGACAGCACACAGCAGCTACTCACCTGCCCACATGATCAGAACCACCACGATAATGATCATCTCTCCTGTCTGCAGCGGCATATTCCTGTTCATTTCCTGCACCGTTGGGTCATCTGCAGCAAAGACAAAGGCAAATTACTTAGCAGCCATTCAATGAGAGGAGGAATGAGGAAGACATGTTTTTCATTCATTTCAACCAGTGGTAACACTAAAAGGGTGGAAAATATGACACTTGATATGATAATTGATATTGGTATTGCGGTATTAACACAGCAATGGAATTTCGTTCCTGATATTCGCCCATTCGATAACTGGCCAATGAACACCTCACCCTTGAATTTATCAAAAAGGTTGGGCTTAAAGACACTTGTGGAAGACAATGACAGGTCTGCAGCTTCATTGACCTGCTGTGTGTGTGCTGAGACAAAGTAGAACAGGCTACCAAATACTGGCTTCACTCCTGTTAAATAATGGCATTCTGTGAAACCAGAGGTGAAGTGATGTGATAGTACATATATGACCTGGACACTGTTGATAGCTCAGTCAGTAAGAAGAGGAGAGGTACAGATTAGAGACTCAGTTTTGATGTGTGTCATTGCTGAGTTAGCAGGGGTTCTAAGTTGGCATTAGGATCTCTGGGGTAGAGGGGAAATGATTAGGGAATGTTCCCTACTCCTGATTACTTCTTGGTGTCTGTGCTGGAAATTGTGCAGATGTGAACATCCAGATTTGGGCTGACTGTGATGACTCCATAATCAAAACACCTGCTAACAAAAGGTATCTGCCTTTTAAACATAACTTCCTTCAGCCTTCTCTCTTCTACCTCCCTGGTTCTTACCAAGCTTAGATATCCACTCTATTTCTGTAAAGCGTTTGAGAGGTTACCTGAAGTAAAAGGCACTATATCAGTGCAGGTTTTATTTCAAAGATTCATGGGGAAACAACATGGAAAACAAGTCTCTCAAATGGTTACAATTTATGCAGAGTAATTTCTGGCTTGCAAGCAGACCACACATTTCTAATGGAACAACTTTAAGTCTCGAATGAAACAGCAAATCAACCTAAAAGGCTGTTAATTGCTGAGTTAATGCCCTTTAATCCCTCGATGTTATCAGAAAAAAAACATCCTTTTTACAAAGGGCTGTTCCTATGGTGACAGTGTGCCTTTTGAAGCCAACGATTTCTGATGGAAACAATCTTACTTTTATTTAATTGTGTGCGTGGTACAAAAGATGACTCGTTTGATGAGAGCGCCCAATTGTAACCCTCTTGCCAGAATAGCTAGTTCATGCCCACGTTGACACTTAATGCCCACACTTAACCCATCATGTCAATTTTTCTGATGAGAATTCCTCCTGGTTCCAGAACAGTACCATTTTTAGTTCCATGACTCACTGCAAACTAAATTTATATCCAATAACATTCCAAAGTAAACTGAATTGAAAATCTTTGCCATGTGTAATACTTACTTTGTAATAACCAATTTGGAATAATGTCCCTTTGCAGTTCTAAATGTTAGTTTGGCTCAGTTAGTAGCACTCTTGTTTCTGTGCAAAAGTTTGTGGTTTTGCATGTTGGAGAAGCTGCCCATCAGGTGAGCTGCTAAACTGGTCAGTCTGACGGTTCTGGTGAATATTTTGGATCTGCTTTTTTGAAGAAATACAGGAACCTCTGTCCACAGAACCATAATTAATGATTTCATCGAGCTCTCAGGAAGGGTGGTTGAGGCTTGGACACTAGATTTATTTAAAAAAAAGCTCAATATTGTGCTAGGAGATGGTAGGGTGCGAATTCTGGACATCAGATGGACCAATGGGCCACCTACATCCGAATGACTCTTTTGCTCACTATTTCTCGGACATCAAAAATGACCTCAATAGAGATTACCTAGTTATTCATCTATCTCATTTCTGTTTTTGAAATGTTGTTACTAGAAATAATCGGCCAGGCTTGACTGCATATCAACTGTCACTGGTTAATTATTTATGTCAAGTACATAAATAATTATTTGAGATGTTCCATTGTGATAATGCGCCACATCACATGTACACTATTGCCATTAATAATGGGAACCATTTTGTCATATTAAAGAGACATTAGGGTCTACATGGTGCTCTACCTGGGTCTCACCTCTGTGCCGATCGGCAAAACCACCTCAGTCAAAGTATTTTTCTCCATGGAAAGCCCTGTATGTCCCACAGACTCGCAAGACATCAATGGGTAGAATTTCCACCTGCGCCTGGATTTACTCTATTAACGTAGCATTTTAGAGTTCAATGGATTTGTCAAATTCTTAAATACATTGTTTAATTTTGAAGTGTTTTTACTGTACATTACTAACAGAATCTAACCTTTCTGTAACTTTTAACTTTAAGAACTTAATGGGTAAAACTGAATTCTGCCAAAACCAAATTCTGCACACTCCGAAATGCTATGTTAAATCTAGATCCAAATGGAATTTTACCCTGCAGTTGCAAGCCTAAACCTTGCAAGTCTGCATGATCTTGCAGGACCTTTTCAGTAGCAGACACAAAACACAGGAAACAGCAAGACAATTGTGGAGGATAAGGAATTATACTTTTCAGAGGAGTCACGGGTCAAACGTGTTACATTTATATCTGAGCAACTCAGCATAATGAGCACTATTACCAATCTTATGGTCAATAGCTGCTTTTGGACACTCAATGGAAAGTGTCCACCTACGTGCTCCTCAGCATGTAGATTGGTCTCAAGAATAGAAGAATTCCATCAGTATCTTCTCCAGATTTTCTACCAAAATGGACATTTCAGCAAAGGAACTTATATAGCACCAAATTGCACTTATATAGTGCCCTCCATGCAGGGGAGCATCTCAGAGCACCTGACTCCGAGCCAGGGGTGGGGGGGAGGTGGCCGTAAGCATGGTCGAAAAGGAAGGTTTTCAGGGGGGACTTGAAAAAGGGGAGAGGGGGGGCAAGGCAGAGGGATTGAGGGAGAGTGTTCCAGAGTTTTGGGGCATAGTAGTTGAATGCACGACCTCCAATGGTGGAGCGGAGGGCACGAGGGACAAGCAAAAGGCTGGTGCCAGTCGAGCGGACGCGCTGTGTGGTGGATTGTGGAGTGAGGAGGTCGGAGATGCAGGGAGGTGCCAGGAAGTGAATGGATTTAAACACGAGAGTGAGGATCTTCATAGAATCATAGAATTATACAGCACAGAAGGAGTTCATACGGCCCATCGTGTCTGTGCCATTTCTTTCAAAAGAGCTATACAATTCAATCTCACTCTCCCACTCTCTCCCCATAGCCCTGCAAACTTAAAATAAAAGAACTTGACCATTGCTTTTGAGGCAATAACCATGGAACATCTTAATCTAAAGTCATTCACACTTCAGCATGAAAAACAATAATCTTCTAGATGCACACGGTGCCACTTATGTTGCAAACTGTGACTTGTTCTCTTTTTGATTTAAATACTGTCACAATAATATTGTGCTGTTAGTACGACCATGGGGCAACTTATGAGGATCATAGACACCTAATTCCAAGTAAGATAGGTAAAACTTGGAAATGTCTTTTCATTTCATGTTTTAACTTACCATTGGTGTTACATTAATATGCAGGAAACAAAAAATTATTAATTTCATGGTTCAACCTGTACTATAGAGATCAAAAGAGAATTTTTTTTTATATAGATCAAACAACAACAAGATTCCATTTACAGAGCGCCTTTCACGTCGGGAGGACGACCCAAGGCGCTGGACAGTTGGGTCAGGACCCGAGCAGGGGGGAAATGGTCAGGGTCAGGGAGGGAAGGGAGGGAGCGAGGAGGGGGTAGAGAGTCGAGAGGGGAGCTGAAGGCACGGTCAAAGAGAAAGGTCTTGAGACCGGCCTTGAAGGAGGAAAGGGAGGAGGCGGCAAAGGCACTGGGGGATGGAGTTCCAGAGCCTAGGGGCTGAGAGGCTGAAGGCCCGGCCACCGATGGTAGGGCGGTTGGGGCGGAGGATGTGGAACAGACCGGAGCCAGAGGAACAGGTACGGGCAGGTAGGTAGGGGTATAGTAGGTCAGAGAGGTAGGAGGGAGCGAGGCCGTGAATGGCTTTGTAGGTGAGGATGAGGATCTTGAATTCAAAATGTTCCAAATTGTTTTTACTCTATTTTTCTCAAATATATTCAACAATTTTCCAGGAAAACTCAGGAACCATTTTACACATCTAAAGTTTTTTTTTAAAAAATAGAGTGAGGTACTGATCAGCCATTATCTAATAAAATGGCAGAACAGGCTTGAGGTCCTGAACGACCTTCTCCTATTCCTTTGTTCCTATATATATGTCTTAAAAACAGCTGTAAAGTGAATGAACAGTTGATCTGGAGAATAATAATCCTTTCATTTGATATAGCGCTTTTCATGTCTTCTCGAAATCTCAAAGCGCTTCACAGAATAGACTGTAAAGTGAATTGACTGTATATTTGTGGGCGAAACACGGCAGCCAATTGCGCGCAGCAGTGTCCCACAAACAGTCGTGGATTGAAAATGACCAATTTATTATTGTTTTGTTTTGGAGGGATTATTATTAGGCGTGTGGAGTAAGGATACTTGCCCAAGGTGTCGCCCTGCCAGGAATTGAATCCAGGTGTCTCGCTTGGAAGGCAAGTGCTCTAACCACTGAGCTACAGGACTCCACAGAAATAATAGAAGTAACTTCCTCCCAAGTTAACTGTATGAATTACAAAAAGTGATCCAACAAACTTCAAAACTTAAAACTTAGCTTATTGAAAGTTCTCTATAATTATTCCTTTGTAACAGAAAATTGATCAGGACAACAATAGTTGATTTTACTTTCTGTGACTGGCTATTATTTATTTAAAGGCATAATGATACACTGCACTAGCAGGTCATTTCTGGTTATCCAGTTAATGTGGAAAGTCAAACAAGAAAAAAATGACTTCCTGAGTTGATTCAGGCCATGACAGATCGGTATCCTTAATCTGATTCTGCTGGCATAGCCGGTTCCATTTTATTTCCACAGATCTATTATTAAGCGTAGAAAACTAAGCACAGAGCTCCCTGGCTTCTATTAATCTTCCCAACTTTCTGTTAAATATTGACATATTTTCCAGAGGTGATTCGTGTTCA